GCACATAACAACAACAACAACAACACTGTAGTATGGTAAGTGGAAGGAAGACAAGGCGATCTACTTCCATAAGATCTACAACCTTGGAAACCCAATGCGGTGAGTTGGAAACGACTCCATGGCAGTACCATAAGTAGTGCGTAGGAAGAGCTTAAATTAATATTTGTTAACTGTTACTAACAGCCACCAGTAGAGCACAGCATGGAAGAGGCTGGGTTGGCACCTATGCACTGCCATTGGCAAGCTGTTTGATCCTGGGTGAGCTCATTAATTTCTTTAGGCCAAAGGTTTAAGGAGCTCTGGTGGCATAGTGCCTAAAGCATTTGACTGCTAACCAGAAGGCTGGCAGTTCAAACCCACCAGCCACTCCGCAGAAGGAAAACTGGGCAATCTACTACCATAAGGATTTACCGCCTTGGAAACCCATACTCAACTCAGTGGCAGTGAGTTTAGTTTTTAGGCCAAAGGTTAAGGCATTCTTGTGGTGCAGTGCTTAAGGCATTGGGCTACTAACCAGAAGGTCAGCAGTTCAAACCCACCAGCTGCTCAATAGGCAAAAGGTGAAGCATTCTGTTTCCAAAAGATTTTACAGCCTTGCAAACCCCAGGATTGCTATAGTCAGCATCAACTCAATGGCAGTGGGTTTGCTTTGGTACTGGGTTACACTAAAGGTCACTTATCTCTAAAATAAGATTGGATGAGGGACGTCTCCAAGTTCTTTACACAGTGCACGTTATATATTGTGTTAACATGGGCTTGCCGTGAGTTGGAATCAGCGCAGCGGCAACTGACAACAACAAATGTCTAAAACACTGGCCAGTATTGCGCTTTTAGGAAACATGAAATTGTGGTTAGTTAGGAACCACCCGGGCTGTGAAGGCAAACCACCGGTGTTCTAGTGCTGATCCTCCAGGCACTAGTTGCAGGACCTTGAGTCACTTTTATTCCCTCCTCACCTGAGAACAAGCTTGCAAGACCTCGTTTACAGGGGGCAGTGAGAGGAAGCGGGGTACACATCGAGTGGCTGGTAGCTGTGATGGTCGGTCCCGCAGGGACTCTGAGGATGCTGTGTAGGTGAGCAGGTGGCTCTGTCTCTCTCCTGAACGCAGCTCCTCCACGGTCACCCTGGAAGGCGTAGCAGCAGGAGGGCTGGTCTTACGCTCCATCTCTGCTGCTTTCACGGCTCCGCTTCTCTCTCCAAGGCTCTAAGACTGTCATCTGCGGTTTTTCCTTTTTCTCGCTGTCCCCAGGCACCTGCAGCCTTCTGAGATCTGTCCTTGATTTTTGATACTGCATTATCTAATTAGTTCCACTGTTGTTGTGCCGTCAATTCTGGCTCAGGACAGAGAAGGACTGTCCTATGGGATTTCCTAAGTTACAATCTTTACGGGATCCAATCAGCATCTCTTTTCTCCCACAGAGCGGCTGGTGGGTTTGAACTGAAAGACCTTTTGGTTAACAGCCTGGTGCTTTGCATTGTGCCACGCAGGCTCCTTGGATAAGACCTCCACAGTTCCTCTTTTACATAAACGTCTACATTTTCTGTTGTAATTTCCCTGACTTAGGGAGAACTTAATTGAAAATCAGTCTGAGTGCACAATCCTTACAGATTTTCACATTTTTCTCCCTCCTCCCTCCCCCTTTTTTTTTTTTAATTATGATTTGGGTGAAAGTTTGCAGAGCAAATTCATATTCCACTCAACAGTTCATACATTTTGTTTCATGAAATTGATTGCAGTCCCCATAATGTAACAGCTCATTTCCCCATTTTCATTGTTTTTTGGCCATATCTTGTTTGACAATGTTTTATTAAACAATTCATCTTTGTCTTCCCAAAGCATCCAACTGGGTTTGTTGTTGTTTGCCATCGAGTCAGCCCCGACTCATAGCGACCCCTCCTTGGGTTTCTGAGGCAGTATCACTACAGAAGTAGGATTGCCCAACCTTCCTTCCGAGGAGTGGCTGGTGGGTTTGAACCGCCAGCCTTCTGGTTAACAGTCAAGTGCCTTAGCCACTATGCTACCAGAGTTCTCATGAATACAGTGGCTTTTTGTCCTCCTCTTTCAGGTTACTATCTAATTATATAATTACACTAACAAGTCAGGTTTAGGAGCAGGCCTGACAGTAGACCCTAGCCATTCCGGAGAATAGCAGCTGACCCCAGTTGTCAACACCACTCAGTGTTTTGTTAACAGAAGACGTGGAAGCTCCTGGGATAGCCATAAAGAATTAAAATGGCAGGCAAGTAGTTTGGGCAGAATGAGCCCTGGTGGCACAGTGGTTAAATGCTTGGTTATAGAACCAAAAGATAGCTGTTTAGCTTCGAGGAAGAGAAGACCTGGCAGTTTGCTCCTGTAAAGATGACAACCACAAAACCCTATGGGACAGTTCTGCTCTGTCATGGGTTGATGGGAGTCAGAATTGACTTGACCGCACGCAGTGACAACAGTGTGGGAAGAGAATCAAGGGCAAGGGTAAGTTGAAGAGAAAGTCTGCCGTGGTTCTCAGCTAGCATGACTGGCTGCCTTCTGTGGTTCAGGCTCAGTGCTTGGCGCCCTTCATGCGCCATCCTGGTTAAGCTTCAGTGACTTCCTAAACAGCAGAGGAGCCCAGGCCTCAGGGAAGTAAAGCCACTGGGCAGCTCTGGTAGCTGTGATTTCAGCCCCTCAGGCCTGACCCCAGAGACCTGGGCGGTCTGAGGTGGACTCGCACCTCTGCCCTTCCCCACCCACCTGTGTTCTCTTGTAGCTGGCAGGGAAATCGTCTTCCTCTTCAAGATGTACAGAACCAAAGTGGGCCTGAAGGACCGCCAGCAGCTCTACAAGCTGATCATTAGCCAGTTGCTCTATGACGGCTACATCAGCATCGCCAACGGTCTCATCAGCGAGATCAAGCCCCAGTCTGTGTGCGCGCCCTCCGAGCAGCTGCTGCACCTCATCAAGCTAGGTAACGCGTCAGGAAGCGCCCGGGGGTCCTGGGAGGTGTTAGGTAGTTTCAGGCATCAAAGTATAGGATAAGTATGGTT